GGGGCAAATTGTGAGATGGTATTGTTTTAAACGCTGAACCACCATGAAATGTACTAAAATAACAATTTAAAAATTATGTGCATGACAGAAAATCTTAAAATTGAGAAAATTAGTGAGAAGTACCACATTACATGCCATCATGGATTGTGAGATATAAGGCAGTTTATTGACCATTTCAAATTTGATAAACCAAACTAAGTTAACCCAGTATGTACAGTCCAAGGATGATGACATGTATGTAAGCGTTCATGATCCAATAATAAAAAATCTTACACGGTATAAAAATTCTTAATGTCTTTACTCAAGTTGACACAGACATATAGGGCATGTTTTTAACTTTATGTTCCAAATATCCAGTCTCTAGACTCCAGTTACCAGACTCCAAACTCCTTTTACAGACTCCAGTATCCAGATTTTAGATAAAATTACTACTACTACTGCATCCCAACTCTCCACTCTTGCAAAACGTAAGGCGAAAAGAATAGGCCCATGGTGTGTTAGCTCATGATTATCCTTTACTTCAATGTTATAGTTAGAGAAGCAAGTGGAAACTTGAGCAAAAATGGATAGTTACAACAGTACTGCATACCATTTAAGAAAGAGTATTAAAGTCCAAATCTATAGATATTCTAAAGTGAGCACTTAATTCAAAAAAATAATAAATGGTGTGCATTTCATCAACGCACAATATAACGGTTATAACCTCTTTCAAGCCATGAGTGGATTAAATGTAACTACATGGTGAGTGGTATACATTGGATGTGCCAAAAAGGAAATATATGCATTCTACTTTTTATACTAGTAAGGAGGTACAAACAAACTCTTCCTGAGTTCCTGTTTTGACTTTTTTTGGTCAAACAGTAACACTCTTTGACCAAAAATTGGGAGAAAAGTATATTGAATTATAATATAAATTCAATATAATTCAGTTTAGTTTATGATATAGTTTTGATATATCAAATTTTAATAACATTATTTATTTAGATTATGTTTAATTTGAGGTCAAAGAGTGTCACTGTTTGACTAAAAAAAGTCAAAACAGGAAGAGTTTTTAAGACTAGAGGGAGTAGAATAATGTTGTACACTTGTACACATAGGTTTGAATATTTTAGAACATTTATATCCTTTGACTTCTATAAGAATTATGTCTGACAAAGTGAAGTGCCCAAGTGCTACCCTTGACCATTAGCTCGCGCCGTTGATTATTTATTGTATAAAGTTCTAAACCTTAAAAACAACCACTCTGAAAACAAAGGATGCATAGATCTTCATAATCTACACCCTGCCAGATGTGGAAACCTGGTGAGCTGGTCAATTGTTTCTTTTTAAAGCATTCCATAAATAAAAAGGGTTATCATTTAGCCATTTAATGTAATGTTTTTTATTAATAAGCAGTGAGAAAAAAGGACAATTAATTCTTTCCTACAACCCCTGCCATCTAGAAAGGAAAAGATTTAGTAAGGATAAGAAGCTAGAACTTATTGATTTAGGGCCGGTTCTTTAAGTCTAAATTTGAACTGGAGCCTGGAACCTGTTTGCTAGATATTGTATTAATTTTAACTAGAATATAGAGAATGGAATTTGGAATCTGGAGATAAGAAATTAGAGCCTCTAAACAAGAGTTTGGAGACTAGATTTGGATAACTAGAATATAAAGTTGAAATGAACAAGCCCTTACTCGCATTCAACTTCTATCCGGTGATTTTTTCCCGCCAAAGATTTTTGAGTAATGAGTGTTATTAGACCAACTAGTAAATATACATAACTCGTGCCAAAACCATCAATTATATTTCATCAAGACTCTTGGTTTTGCATATTTTCTATTTTCTAAATTGCCTTAAGAACTGTAGTTGTAGACGACCAAGTGCTACCTAATATGCAACAAAAAACAATGTGTTTCTTGAAATGTTACTTTCCTCTAAATACAACATATTTATAACCACTTGTACATATACATTTCTAAAATTTCAATGAACTATTTAATATTTCAGATCAAAACAATGTTTCTTTAAATGCTACTAATGCTAAAATTACATTAATTGATTACGTTCCACACAAAATGCGAATGCATTAATAATAAATGAAAGTGAGATATACAAGATGAATCAAGACTAAGAAATCTAAACGGTTCTCTTTTGAGATGTGCACCCACAAGGGAGTTTGCCTTTTAGAGGCATAGGTGGGAACTGTTCAGGAAGCGCAAGCACAGTGCTCCTTTTCAGCATTTCAAAGCATCACTCGGCATGAATTAGAAAACCTTTTTTCTCTTGTTTATCGAGGACATTTTTCTTTCTAAAAATTACCTCCTGCAACTAGGCCAACTTTAAAACACTCCAAAAAGAGGCGCACCTCTTCATCTTTGAGTCGTTCACTCATTCATCTAAAGCCTAAAAGATGAAATTCTTCCAAATCAAATATTACTCCTCCGACTTTCCTCTGTGTTTTTTCAGTCCAAGCATGAATTATTATTTTGCCTTCTATTTTCTTCAATTTTAAGGATTGCCCAAAATTGAATGTTAAGGTTTGTGTTTATTGTGCCTTTAATTTAATTCCAGACTTTTAAGTTTAATGTTAGTTCATACTGTATTTGAATTCATCAATTACGAAGTACTCACATTTCGCTTACAGTGGTCTATACTTTATCCTCCTCCACGTAAGCTTTTAATTAATTACAAAGTACAATATTTTACTCACTTTGGCAGTGCATTTATTATTATTATTATTATTTGTAAATGCACATCCATTATTTTTTTAAAACAATGTTTGGATGTTATGATTATGACTATTTATTTGGATGTTTAACAAATTTGGATGGAATGATTAGAATGAATTTAAGTGGTTAAATAAAAGTACGTTTTATAATTCTACATACTCTGTGTTGGTTACTACTATAGGATATTCGAGTTATGATCTCCAATTTACATTCTTCCTCCCCTCTTCTGATCCTAGGTAGGACCTTGTGTAACAACCTTGTCTAGAAGATATGGTTTGAATTATGACTTTATGTGATTATCGTTTTAAGTTATTATGAGTGAATAATGACTATTTTAGTACCTTTCTCAGTTTGTCCTTAAATTAGCATTACATATAATACATTTTTTTCTTTTTAGTGAAGTGTCACTTTATGACAAAAAGTAACGGTTCAGTCTGCACTTCCGCTTAGAAACAAAATCAGCGTCCCAAGTTGTGTGAACATTTAGAATTAAAAAGTTATTCACAAGCTTGTAGTCTCTACTATTCAACTTCTCTTTCTTGCCTTTTTACACTTTAGTTTCTATTGTCATGATATGTAGTTTTTATCTTCTGGACAGCTTTATTCACTCAACTGCACTTTTTATTGTTTATTTTTTGTGATAAATAGAATGTTTTTAATTTTTTTTCTTATATGGACATCTTTACACATGGTCTCTCCCTTTCTCCAACAGTTATTCTATTGCTTGTCAGGATTTAGTCTTTCCTAGCTTATCTATTGCTTGCCAAGGTTTGAAATTTTGAATCCTTAAGTATAAGAGGTTCAATCCTAATGCCTTTTACAAGAGTTCCAAAAGGTAAAATAAAAATTACATGCATGGAGGTGGTCCTTCACCCTCAGGTTCCAGTTTACGCCACTCATATGGCTTCGCTGCTGTATCTAAAGCCCAAACATCTGCTAAAGGCCGTTTCCCTGAAAAATATGCACAATAATATGAGATCACAAAGCCATGTGCAAGTTAAAAATAGCACCAAAAGGTCTTAATAAGACCTACCATCATTTCCACCAATTGACATTAGGTATCTTTGCCCCACTAAAGCCATGACATGTCCATAACGAGGCCCTGGCCCAGGACCTTGGACTACAACTCTAAAATGAAGATAGCACAACTTTAGCGGCCTAAAACACATGTCTGTACATATGTATGTCAGCTCTTGGCGTAAACATGCACTAATTCAATAAGAGTAACATGCACAGATTTTTGTGTGTGTAACATGCACCCTAAGTGACCAACCTATGCCACCGTGATCGTTGTTGAGTTAGATCCAGGACATGAAGATCCTCACCAGACAAACCAGCCGGACCAATTCCACCCTGTAATAATAACAATTGACCATCACACCTATGCAAAGCAAATATCAATCCCATGCAAACTCTTCACTAACAGAAAATACCCACCTGGATCACCACCATGGTACCAACAGCAGTTGCTACATGGGCTGCCCGCGGCGTGGGGGGCTCTCCAATTGGATTAATTCTGAGAAGATAAGAGGTGAAACCTTATAAACAAGCCTTCTTAGCTAATAAACAATACAATTAATCAAAAGGGTTACCTAGACCATTTATTAGTCAAAACATCATAAGAGTGAACATCAGCCGTAGCCCCAGCCAACCCTGTAAACAGATAGATCCTTTCAAGATTATTTCAGATTATTCATGAAAAGTTTTAAATGTTCATTTAACCAACAGGAAAATCAAATTAAATAATCACCCTATCCATGTCATGCATATATTAGGAAAAGGACATGAATATAAATGTGCATCATTGAAGAGGGGAAAATTTCCTATTTAGAAATTTATAAATTCCGCATGAAGTTAAGTCCATCCATTATCACATTATCATGCTCAAACAACAAAGTGGCATATTTCCAACCCGCACAAGTGTTCATTCACACCCTTGTGATGACATATTGATATGTGAGGCCTTTAGAGTGTCCGACAAATAGCCTTAAAGAGGCACACTCTTGACCAACTTATAAAAAGCTGAGCACAATGACAGTTGCATAATACATGCATAAACAAGCATACCATAACTACTCCAGTAAGAAGAAAAGATTATGAACTTATGAAAAGGAAAACCAGTGAACCCAAGTTCAGTTTTTTTAATTCTTTTGAGGGAAGATCCCAAGTTCATATTAAAAAGGAAAAAACGAAAGGAAAAGAAATCAATAATGAATTCGTACTAATTCCAGCACTTCCAGCAGATGAAGGAGTCCCTGAGGCTGCAGAGTTTCCCTCTAGTGAAGTGGCACCACCAAAGAGAATAAGCCGAGGACCAATATATCCAGGAGTGCCTTCCTCTCCCACAGCCGGGACAGCAGTTAGCGTGTGACCACACCTTGGTCCCGGACCATCATCCTTCTCCAGAATAGGGTGCACCACCGAGAGGGTAGGAGCGCACCTAGGCCCCACAGCCGGACTTATATTGTGTTGGGGTGGAGGCGTGGGAAGAGGCAGAGTCGTGGGTGGCGACTGCTGCTGCTTCTGTTGAGACGGAGGAGTCAGCTGCTCCGGTGACTCTCCGGTGGGCGTCTCACTTCTTAATTGCTCGGGGCCAGACCCATTATTCTTCGGATCCTGATCGGATTCCGACGTCATAGTCGAATCAGCGTCCATCTTCTTCAATCCGACGCTGAGATATCCAAAGCTTCCGTATACGATCGGTGCTCAAAATCTCAACGATTGGCATTTGCGAACAAACATTCTCAATCCAATTCAAGCTCTAAACGCGGTCGAATTCACAATTCTTGAACTCCTATCTCAAATCCTCTGATTCCACAAACACAATGGAGTACATACGCATGCACAAATAATAGACCTAGCGCAGAATTTCCCGATAGATTTAAGCCCTAGAAGTGAGGGAGAAAACAATCTGCTGTTCGTTTCCCTTTCGTTCCGATCTTCCTCTCCACCGAAAAGCTTCTCTATCTATGATGATGCACCAGTGTTCTATTCCCAAAAAAACAAAATACAAAAAAACAAAATACACAAACAAAAAAATAAGAACAAAAATACTCCGTAACATTTTTTTTTTATTTTCCACAGTCCTTATATGCTCTATGTTCGTGAGTTCGTCCACTTTTTTAATGTTCCCCAATTAGCAAAAAATTTGCTTACTTCCCTTAGTTCCCTATTTGGAAACTTTAAAATCATGAATACAAAGTCAATTGGATATCAATTTTTTAAATAATACTCTTCCCTTTAAAAATAGTTTGATTCACCTAAATTAAGAAAAAAATTTCAAAAAAATAAAAAATAAAAGAGTAAATCCATAAAAGGTCCCTAGCTATAGGTCGTTTTACATATTTAGTCCTACATATCAAATATTACTAATTTAGTTCTCAATTATTATATCATTTTTTACGAATGGTCCTTTGTTAACGTTTTTGTTATTAACATGAATAAAATTGTATATTCATATTTTTCTCTCTCCTCAATAAAGCTTCCTCCCTCCTCTCGTACTCTTTCTCAAACTCGTCGCTGAGCTTGAAACTCTAAATCCAAAACTGAAATGATCACTCATCTCTCAATTATTAGTCTTCGTGGTGTAACCTAAAATCAAAACCAATAAGTTTTATGCACAAGTTTTATCAGTTAGTTTCAAGAAATTGCAAAGAAAATAAACATTAAAACTTATCCATTAAGGCTACTGGTTTCGAATTTGGGTTCCACCAGTTCGACAAACAATTGAGATTTCGGTTTTGGGTTCAAAGCTTCAAACTCAGTGACGGATTTGGGAAAATGAGTGCGAGAGGAGAGAGGAGGCTTAATTGAGGAGAAAAAAGAGTGTAAATTTACAATTTTATCTACGTTCTTAACGAAAATGTTAACAAAGAACCATTCGTGGAAATGAATCTAATAATTGGGGACTAAATTAGTAATATTTAATATATAGGGACTAAATATGTAAAACGACTTATAACTGGGAATCTTCTATGTAATTTACTCAAAATAAAAAGTATACAGTTAAAACTTATTCGAAACAAAGAATACAAACTAGAACAATAACAATCACTACTTGAATCCCACAAATGTACGATCTCAGAGAGTGTGTGTGCATATTTTATTTTTATCTAAAATTAGATAGCACAAACTCGCAAAAGATACATAAAGCAAAAGAAACACAAAATACAAAAGGTCAAGATAACTGTTAATGAGGAAAAAATATAGCAAGTAGAAAGCACAAAGCAAAAAGTGAGAAAAACAACCACTCAATCCAAAACGTCTAATGAATTACATTAATCCTAATTCTCCAAATTTTTTTCTGTAAGGTCATATCTGAGTCAGAAATTTTAGGTCTTGGCTAATTACCTCCTTCCAATTCTTCCTAAGTCTTCCCCCACCCCTACCCACACCCACAACTGCGAGCCTCTCACACCTCTGATCTGCACTGTGGGCTCATCACTCTACCGTCTTCATGCACAAACCACCTCAATCTAGCTCCTCGCAATAATCTACTTGTGTCACTCCCACTTGCCCCGAACAACCTCGTTATGAGTCGTATCTAGCCTCGTCTTCCCACACATCTATTGTAGCTGTAACACCCCAACACACATAACCCGAACCAACGAGTTAGCGAACCGGGTTGCTACTAAATTGGCATCAAACACAATAATTTTCAAAACAATTCAAAATATTGAATTCAAAAACAATGTATCAATATCCATTAGAGTTAACAAAACGGTGTGGAAGCTTTAGAGTACTAAATTCAAAATATAACTTGGATTCTTGCCTTTAAAATATAATAAATTGAAATGCAAAAATTAAACTAGATAACTCTTCCTGCCAGCATCCATCCATTTTCTCGTCCTCGCTGCCCCCTGGGATTATATCCTTATTCATCATTCATGTTAGCTGCGTGTAGCAAACAGGAAAAAGAGCTACACGCTCAGCATTGAAGCTAAGTGAGAAATATCTAACATTTTGACTATGACGAACCCACTAGCTCATAACTTCATACAATATCATACATACAAGCACACATTATAATATTACATAGCAGTCACTAAATAATTTCACAAGTCACAAGTCATTACCTTATTCGTCTTTATTTATAGCAAATAACATAAATACTAGCTAAGACCATACTTCCTTATTTATAACCTTATCTCCGGACTTAGAGTCACTACCTACGGCCATGACTCAAGTCTACCTTATTCAACATCTTATGACACAACATAAACTGATGACTAATGAAGGAGTTCTCCGCTGGGTGAGTGGTACCCATGTCCCCTTCAGAACGAAAGTTTGTTGATCTCGTGCGTACGTTTTAACCCACAGCCATCAAATATCAAATCCGCAAGGCTGATTCTATCTATTGACATTTATACTTACAATCTTACTAAAGCACTCCTAGAGTTCCACTAGATACCCATTTATTTACCACATCTATACAATGCAGACTTATCCCAGTAACAATCCCAATTACTTATTTACTTTCAAAACATAACAAGAACGTATTTAATTATAACAAGAAAAGATAACAATAATTTGATAACCAATCATATTACACAATTATCGCCCTAATGTCGGGTGTAAACAGCTTCCACTTACCGTCATTCAACACATAGGGTCTCGAAATCAATTTGGGTTCCAAATCGGGTCAAATAATCATATACGAGGCGGTACCTTGGTACCGTCGGTACTAGGGTGGATATGGTACCGGTACAGTACCGTTACCAACGCCAGTACCGCCATCGTCACCGGCGACAGGCACGGTGATCCAGTTCCGAGAACCGTTACCAAAACCGTCTCGCACAGTACCGATTTCGGTGCCAGTTTTTCAGTACCGGCACTGGCGGAACCAGTACCAGTTCCGATACCGATTTATTTTTTCTTTTATTGCTTACGCAGGCGTGCACACTATGCCACTATTGGGGGGGACCTCCTCAACGGCATTATAGCCTTTTGAGGGGAAGGGGGGTGGTTTGGGGGTTAGGGGGTTTAACATTATAAATATCCTCTCAATTTTTTTAAAATACCACACTCAATTCTCCCTAAAATCTTAAATTCTCATTTCTCAATCCCTTCCTCTCTATTAATCCTTATTATCTCTCTTCAATCTTTATACATTTTATATTCATATAATATTATTAATATATATTAATATATTATATAATATATAAATATATACTCATATAATACTAAATTTTTAGTCATACATTCATATATTACTAATATATTATATTGTTATAAATTAATATTATAATTTCAAAATTCAATATATAATTAATATTTTAAATAATTAATATAGTTCTTTTTTTATCGAAATAAAAATATATTAAAATTTCGAAAGAGTCCGGTAGAAGGTCCTTGGATATGGGCATTGTGAACTGAAGTTCGAGGAAAGGCAAAGCTAAAGCCCCCTCCGACGGTTCTAGCTCAAGTGGTTCTCAAGGAAGGCACTCTATCTCTTCCTTCCCTACTATCCCTGATCAATTCGTGGCCCACGCTATGACGGATCAAGAATTTGAACAGTATTTGGGAGGTATGACGGACGCCAATCATCAAACACTTGAAGATATATTCGAGGACATTGATGAAGAAGAAATGGACGTGGAGCCTACACCGAAGAGCAACAGTCCTACCGACGCTGATGAGGAGGTAGGTGAGCCCGAGACCTCTGAAGCTCCGGGGAAAGGTAAAAAAAATTAAAATCTGATTTATTTGTTTATTATTTTTCAAAAAAAAAAAGACTAAGTTTTTGGAACTTGTAAATAGTATGGCACCGTCATATAAATGGGAATTTCCGGAGGTTATAGTGGTCCGGAAAAACACCTAAGGGCGAGGCACCCCGTGGAGTATGCCAAATACACGACGAAAAAGAAGGGACGACAAGAAGTGCAAACTCAAATTTCTCGGTTTGCTAATAGGGGTAAGCGCGACCTTTTTGTTTATAGCGACGATCAAAATAAGCAAAAATGGCCGAAATGGTTTGTGAAGAAAATTTGTCATACATATTTTCTAAAAAACTTGGATTTATTGATTATTGTCAAAATGCATTAAGCAAGAGGTTTTTCAAGAAATACAATTAAGAGAGAAATTATTAGACAATATAAAGTTGAAAAAAATGAATTTGGCAAAAAAAAATTTCTCAATTTTAATTCTTTTGTTACTATTTGTTCTGATATTTGGAGTGAAACATATCACAATTTATCTTATATGGGTGTTACTCCGTATATATTTATCCCAAACTTTTACTTAAAAGTTTCAAGAAATACTCCAGAATATAAAATTGTGGTTAAAAACTATTTAGATAAATAAAAATAATCAGCAAGCATTTTTCCCCATAGATGTCATCGAATATTATTTTGAAACATGCAAAAAATCAAAACATGAGGATTGATTTGGATTAGTACGAAATTAATCCGCCCTATAAGTTGACTGAACCTGCCCCTTGTTTACACGCCCCATACATCCCAAAATAATCATCTTAGTTATTATGTTTGCCTCTCAATAACTTAAGTTTATTTGTGTGTGATACGAAAAATAAAATATTCTTATTATATTTTATTTTATAAAACTTTTAATATAGTTTTAAAACATACAATTTGAAATTTTTATTTCTATACCAATTGAAAATAATACGGAGTATCATTTTAAAAGAAATAAGATTGTGCAGTTTTTGAGACAATTATTTTGAGAGGAATGAAGTAAATAAGAATATAAAATACGTAGTAATACACTAAGTCACATACTCCGTAAAATATTAATGGTATGAAACAAAATGAACACCCAACACACCCTAAGACAGAAAATTTGCGGGGGGGGGGGAAGAGTGAAAGAAATAACAAACTTAACGCCACGGAAAGAGACATTATCTATTCATTAAGCATATATCATAAATGTGATGACAAACAAACAAACAGAAATAGGATATGAGAGCCAAACTGTAAGTGCCATACCCATTATATGCAGCAATACTATAAAGTACCCAAAAGTTCAGCTACAAGAGCAGTCAGTCATGGCTTTCCTTTGCAATCCAACACGAAACCCGCCCGCCCGCCCGCCCGGACAACAGATTCACACAGTGGACCCCAACTAGATTTTTGCCGGGCCGGTATTAATGGGTTTTTGGAAAACTTTAACTGATGGCATACCATCACCGCCGTCATTGCTGACCCTCCAGGTCCTGTCTTTCTTTCTCTGTGGTTTCTTATGCTGTTTGTGGGGTGCCTTTGAGGAGGACTTCTTTTTATTGGCTGTTGCAGCATTTCTAGGGGCTATCCCATTGGCCATGTCAAATGCATTTAGATCATTCAACACGTGGTCAAGACTCGGTGCATCCTCTGGTTCACTCCCCAAATGTGGTTCATCAATTCCAGAAGAATCGTCGTCTGAGAGGCTGGTCCCACCATCATTATCATCATTTGGATTGTCGTCGTTGTGGTGGGCATCAGTACCACCATCACTGACATCGGGTGGAAGTTCATAGTGAGGAAGCTTACCGTTAACAAAATCCTTCAAAATTTGGCGCGCTGCTTTAGTTTCATCAGGCAGTCCACTTGAAGAGACGTAATTACGGGATGCACAATAGACCCTCAAAAGCTCTGATGCCAGAGGTGGGCGCGATTGTGGTTCATATGGTTTTGGTTTCGGCAATGAAATCTTATAGACGTCTTCTATGACTTTTCTAGGAACTCGGTTTGCCACAACCTGAACAGCATGCCGGTGCTCAGTCATGCGATCAATCGGCAAAACCCCCGAAGCAATCATCTCGTATCTTGAACTTGTGAAGGACGGGAACACTAGACCAGGGCAATCACATAATGTGAGTTTTTCAGATATTATCAGTGTCTGGAAATGTTTCGTCTTCCCTGGAGTGGAAGTTACACCGGCCCGTTTTGCCCCTACTAAAGCATTAATGGTCGAACTTTTCCCAACATTGGGATACCCTACAAATCCAACCATTACACCTCTAGTTTCTGCATTTCTTGTTGAAGTCGTGGGATGAATGGGCTTCAAAATTTTCCTAGTCAAGGCTATATCCTCTGCTTCAGACAATAGACGAGACAATAGTTCCTCCCTACCATATATTCTTGTCTTATCATCACTGGATTCATGCACGTTATCTTGAATCTCGGAGGTGCCAAGTTCTTTCCTTTCAAGATCTTCAGAAGCAGCCTTTGCCGACCAAAATACATAGAGAATGCCATGAAGGTGAAAGTATTCAGCCCATTTTTTCCTGCAAAGTTAAAATTTTCCCGTTAATTTTTTTTGGGGTGTGGTGTGGATGGCGTGTGTGTGGTTGGGACGGGGTAAGAAAGAGAAGATTGAGAGAAAATAGTACATCCAAAAAATGAGACCACTAGCTCCTAGACGTCTAAACATTAATGTGATATTTACCTGATAGATAAAGGTAAAAGATCTGCTTTATTTACTAGAAGCATTGTTTTCTTGTGTTCATCTACTTCTCTGGCATATTCCTGTAAGTGGATGAAGCAAAATACCAGATCCACATTTGCCATTATCAACATATTCATCAACATGAATGCACGCACACACACACACACAAAGGGTTCCGGCCACCCATATTACTAATAAATAATCATTAGACATAAAAGAAACCAAAAAAAATGAAAAATCAGAGACATGAAAGGAAACAGATAAGTTTTAATATCTACATACACTTTGTAGGATTAGCCACTGACTAACTGTTATTCTGAACCTGTCATACTATCATTAGGTGATGTTTGAAAAAGAAACAGTGGTTATGTATGACATAGGCAGAAAAGTCTTGCAGATGTCGATTCTTATCTTTTGGAGTAAGTGGTAAATGTTTAAGTGAAATTAATCACTGCATCTGCTCACTCAAAGATTTAGTGGAGTCACTGAAAGTTTTATTTTTTGGACATTTTGGTCACTGGAAGAGTTGGAGTATTGATATTTTGGTCACCGGAAGATTTATTGCATTGGTGTCTCGGTGAATGTGTTATTTTTGAAACCAGAAGCAAGAACCGCAACAAAATGGTAGGGAGTCTCAAAACTATATTTTGCAGCAGACTCGGCGATCATAGAGTATTAGAGTGGGGTGGAAGAGATAAAGCGGCAATTCAAAAATAAGGCGACAAA